AAATTGCCAATAACTTGCCAGCACTGGAATTGTGAATTGTACATAGTAGCTCTAGTCTGGTACGTACGGTACGGTAGCTGAGAACTCGAAGAGAAGCGAAAAAAATAATTCTGAGAGGGCATACAGAATTATCTGGAACTTTACTAACAGAGGAAACGAAATGAAGAAATAGTTCAGTTCTGTGCCAAGCAGTGTAGGCTTTATCTGTCATTGGCTGACTAAGATTATTAGAGAACACCCGTCATATGGGATAATTATTGTGTGAGAAACGTAATTCGAMATTGATACCGGTTCCTGCGATGGCTTTWCCAATTCTATTTAACGAATGTTGCCAGATTCGATAATTCGATAAGGCAATTTCAAACCTCTGGTAGTTTGGTTTCTTTTTAGTGAAAAATGTCATCCTATAATCCCGAAAAGTAACAACTGCCATCTAGAACACAAGAAGTTCTTGGCGGCAGGCCGAACATGAAAATGCATACTAATCTCGTCTAGCCTACGCCTAAGCAATATTTTTTCCGTTTGTCGATGAGAAAGGCGTCGAAAAATACTTTGTTTCGACAACACAAATCTTTTTTAGGCGCAGACAACACTCACTCTCACATTTTTTTAATCTCTCGATCAAGTCCTGCTAAGGCCCGACAACGATGACTGCTTTTATAGAGGACCCTGTAAAGAAAGCCGGCGTCGAATGGGCGAAGAAGAATCATTTTGCGAAGTTTGTGGAATCGAAAATCGTCGACAACAGCGACGCCTATCCGAAATTCGACAAGGCTCAACTGAACCTTGGCAAAGTACTTGGAAAGGGAGGTTTTTGTACAGTCTACGAAGTTCGTGGGGTTGACGTCGCTAATCGTAGAAGGCTTTCTCAAGAAGCCGACGAAGCCCAGTTTATCGCAGAAAACTGCCTGCGTAAGGAAACAGGTGACGCACGATACGCCATCAAGTTTCTCAGTCCAGAAATTGTCAGCGAAAACGGGTCATTTATTCAAGGCATCCTTGACATGGCAACTGAAACTCGAGTCTTTTCGGACACAGAACACCCCAATATCGTGAAGGCTAGAGCATTCGCACATGAGTCTCCGTTCGATGAACAATACTTTATCATGATGGATCGTCTCTACGACACATTGGAAAAACGGATCGGAAAATGGGCGAAGCAAAACAGACGTTATTCAGGTTTGAACGGGAAGCTACTTGACAGAAAAGGCCAAAAGAAGAAAGATCTTTTGGAAGAAAGAGTAGTGGATGCATTCGACTTGAGCGACGCAATTGGTTATCTGCACCAAAAAAATATCGTATATCGTGATATAAAACCAGAAAACATTGGGTTCGACGTGGTATGTTGCCGTGCATTCCGTTTTAATACTGTAATTACGATCATGGTCGCTCATTGCCTTCGAATCTAAATGTCTTACCCGCCTTTTTTCCTACCTATGAAAAAATTAAAACGTGATGAAGCGTGATGATATCAAGCTTTTGTAAGTCCATTGAATACAGAATTGATGTATTGTCATATATATTATTACATTATTGTTGTGCTACGTTSATGATCAGATATCCTAATACTCGCAATTGAAATTAACATCTCCCGCAGTGACTTTGGTTTAGCAGTCGAAAAGAAAGATAGCAGATTAATTGATGATGATCTATACAATTTTACCGGGATGAGTGGGACTCCCCGATACATGGCCCCAGGTATGTTTTCAATTGTTTTCGAACGAAAGGGGGCAATCGATCACTATATTTTACTATCAGACGTTCTGAACATTTGCGTATCTTTTGATACTATCGAACTACTGTTTTGTCCACAAATCGGGCAGAGGTTGCCAATGAAGAACACTACAATGAAAAATGCGACGTTTACTCTTTCGCTATTTTGCTTTGGGAAATGATGGCTCTAAAAACACCTTTTGAGGTGTACACTATGAGTGTGTTCAAAAAGCGAGTCTGGAATGGGGAACACAAACGACCTTACATTGACCCAGGTTGGCCACCTTCTATCAAAACGTTGTTGCAAAGAGCGTGGTGCAGAGACATATCTGTACGGCCAGATTTTGAAGAAATCACAAAAATTTTGAAGCGAGAAGCTACGAAGTTACGCGGAGGAAGCGATAGAGGTCTGGAGCACATGTCTAGACGATCAACTCATATCTTCGTTAGAGATAAGAAGTCACCTTTGAGCCTGACCTCTTATTTTTAAATGAAAGTCGAGTGTAAGGCAGATGGTGAATTTTCATCAAAGCTCTCTTTTTGAAAGAGAAGTTGTATTTGTCATAGTGATAACGTGGCAGTGGTTCTTCTATTGATATCCGAGACTGTAGTTGTTCGAAAAAGTTGAATTCTTGAGTGAATCAGACTGAATTGACAGTGTGTCTATTCAGTACAAAAGCAACATTATATTAMATGTAGAGTAACAATAATGGTTTAGAAATCGAAAAAGATGAATTAATAGGCACAAAAGGAACCACCATAAGTCCATGTTGTACCATTCCAGCTAAATCATTAAATCTCCCATACTATCGCCACGCCAACAACAACAATACTTAGCTCCTTTTAACTCAACAAGGCATCTTTGAGAAGAACCTAACATAAAAACCCCACCAAATTGCTCATTTTCAGTACGTTGAAGAGTGTCACTCCAGATATTGCCCAGGCCTACTTCAATTATAGTACTAATGGTCCCTCATGTGATCACTTTCCATCTGGCTCTGATTTCTTATGAGAGAAGAAGAAGTTTGAGCAGTGTACTATGAGCATTATATTGGTGTGTGTGTGTGTGACTTAAGTAGTATTAAAGGTTTTGCTTACAAGCAACAATGAATAGTACTAGATACAGTAACTATTTCTTATAGAATGAAATTGTCGATACTTGTCAACAGTCCCAATACTGGTGGTTCCTCTACTAGATCAACTAAAGATTTGTCCATTACTAAGACAATTCCTCCTTAAACCTTGAGTTGTTACTACTACTACCATCCTCTGATAATACAATGTTGTCTATTGGAGGTTGTTCCTTGAACTTGTTTGCAGCAGCATACTAGGACATTCTTCATTTAAAGGAATAAGTCACCACTACTACCTTCAATTTCAATTGGATTGCTTCTTGTACTACAGACACTGAATAAAGAAAGATCCAATTGTCATTCAATAGAGCATTTTCAGCTGCTGCCCTTAACAAGTCCTTTCCTGTCACAAATTCCAAGAACACCTTCTTTCTTCCCCAAGCAAGGCTTAGATTRTACATGTTTGTTGCTGGTCTTCGTTGATCTCCTCTTGACTCACCGCCAAGTGCTCCATGTCTTGATAGACTTGCAGCAAAAATAGAAGAGGGTCAGCTGCTGGCATATGAACAACTTAGTAGTTGCCCATTTTAGTTTGCAATAGCATTTATTGGTTTCCACCATTTAGGAGTTGCAGAAGAAAGTAGAGCATGAGATCCTTCAGAAAGCCACCAGTCTTCTTTGCTCAGCCAAATTGAGTCATGTAGAAGGCCGCCTTTGTTTATCTAATCAAGTGTTGGATATGTCCCATACCTAAACTGAGTTATGAGTGTGGTTTCTTGGTCTGGTGTTTCATTCTCATATTGAATGATAATGATATTGTATATCTTGTGACTCATCTTGTGGCAATAGGGGGAATTTTCATCAAGATACTATCAGTGTGCCCATACTTCTTTTGCACCATTGCCAGTTCTTGAAAGATTTGCAACAAAGTGACTGGATTGTTGCTGAGATGTAGTCATTTTTGTCTTTTTCTCCAAAGTTGTCCTCACTKAAGGAGGCCTTGTTCKTGTCAATAGCAAACCTCAGCATTAGCAGATACATCTGATATGCTAATAATCTCAAGCAATCTTTCCAAGATTGGTGTCCACAGTCATCATTGGGTTGTCATCATTGATTGTCCTCATGACATACTTGTTGTAAGCAATAGGTGGACACTTCAACAGATTTTGCATGGCACAAACAATTTGAGTAGAAGTTACTACTRGGATATTTGTATTCCGTGGTTGCTTGAAACAAAAGTCTGTCTTCAAGAACAGAGCTGATTTAGATACAACAATCTTGATTGCTTTGTTGTTGATACAATGTTGATGAAGCCTCATATGGATGTGTCCAATATGTTTACTGACTCCAAATAATACAGATGTCTTAAAAGGAACCAAGTAGACCACAACCCATTCTAGCAAAATGCTTCTTGTCATCTCTCTCACACTCCTTGCCTTTTTGTTCTTGATAGACTGTATTAATCATGGTAACTTCTTGTATCTTTTCTGCTAAGACCGGTTGTTGCTATGGTCCTTGGCAATCTGGGATTTGCTCTATAGTACTACTATACTCCTTGCTGCAGTAGTAGATATACTATCATCTTCATCCAGATTGTCATGAAGGAGAGGAGGAACAATCTCAGTCCTTGCCAATGGTTACAAGGGAAAAAAGGAATTCACAATTGCAAGAAACTGGCTACTACAGGATGTTCAACTTGCTCTCAATGAAGGATATCTTCCTCAGGTCCAAGTGGCTGGTACCTTGTTATTCCCATCAAGAAGAAGCTTTGCCATATTCAGTAGGTACTAAACAAGAAGCATTTTCTTGTATCTTCTCCTTCACCACAAATCTTCAAAGAAGAACTTCATGTGTCAAATTGGTCCTCAGATTCTTGGTCCTGGTCTCAACACAATAGATTGTGTATATTTGAAGTGTTTCCAATCTTATCAAATGCAATCCTAAGCATCACAAAGTATCTTTCCTTTTAGAAGAGGAGGATACTACTAGTATACCTCTTCTCTGCCTATAGGGGTCTTCTTTGATAACTTGGTCAATTCTCTCTTTGGCATCACCTTTCTTGGTAGTAGAGGACATTCTGGTGGCRCTGTTTTGTTATTGCTGGTACTTCATTCTTCCTGCTCATAGTCACCAGACATGCCTCCTTTTTCCTCCTGCAGCACCTGTTGGTCTCATACTACTACTAATATTTGTAGAGGACTGTCTATTCTTACTAGTAGTAAGATGCAAACAAGATTTCATTGTGTCACTGTTGGTGTGAGTACCCCTTGCCATTGTCATTCTTATTCTTGCTTCCACAATACCACCAGAAGACCTTTTGATTGCTGATCTCCATTCATGCTATGATCCAAATTTCAACTGGAGCTATTCCTGGATCTTCCTTCAACTGGTTGTTTGCTGSTACTGGCTGTGCACCACCAGTTTGCAGCAGCACCAGTCATGATTAATATTTCTTTTTTGTCTTGATACTTTCTTTTTGGTATCATCTGTATACACAGAATTCCCTACTATCAGGATTTCTCACATACTACAGTACTTCAGATTTACCTACAAGCATGAATGAAATTATCCAATCCCACCAAGTAGTAGACAGAAGAATAGTAAAATCAAGCCTCGTCCTTCTGCTGCTGGCACTACTAGTAGCTAGTAGTAGTACTACGACTTCTACTACTACTACTACTACTACTACTACTAATACTACTACTACTACTACTACTACTACTACTACTACTACTATGCTACTAGTAATGCATGGTACTATTTCTAATAGTGATATAGGACTTCTTGCAAGTACTAATGAGTGACCACCCACCAGTAATACCATATGACACTATCATAGTATTAGTACGAGTAGTTGTAGAAGTGTTTTATGTTTTGAGCCTAAAAATAGTGACCAGCAGTAACCTCACTCCTAATTGTAGTAAAAGACAAGAGAATGTTTCTTATGAAGAAGAAGAATTAGATTCTTTTTGCTTTGACACCGAATTAATTATTGAGCGACATTGAATGGATGTATTGCGGTAGTTGGGGTTGATCCTACTACGACGACCCTTCTGGGCCTAGGTACCTGACGTCAAGTCACTATGAGGTTCTAAAACGTGACACATTCATACCGGATTCCTTCTTTTCGCACAAGCGGTATTGAATGTCACGGATCGAATAGATAAAGTACCGGAAGCGGTAGGTAATCCTCTATGAGGAGAAGCCAAGAGAACCGAAACGTAMAGTAAAAAGAACCATTCTCTAACGAAAGTTCACACAATGAGATTTTCAATAATTAAGGAGGAATCGTGTTGCTTCGGATTGGGATGGCACACTGGGAACCATCCTCGTGAGAAATGAGACGTGATCGGTTTCACTGTGRTGTTTTARAWTACGGTATTTGATGTTTAGGTCAGCGAAACMAGCATAAAAATAGAATATTCTGTGTCTTTGTTGTTTGTTGTATTGCCTAGAATACTTCTTTGTCGGAATCAGTACTTGAATAAAATGAAGAATTACTTTTCGTCTTCTTCATGAGAAGGAAGAATCAAATTCAATAAGCCTTTCCCGAGAAGAAGAGGCATTTTTCTTTTTTGACTCAATGGAACATTTTTCGTYGCCATAGAATGAGATCTCTTGCGCTACCAAGAGTTTGTTCCTGTACTTCTTTTCTTCCCCTGATTCACACCGGTTTTGTTTGCGAGCGTGCCGAAGCACGTGACAGAGTACGGCATTCGGAATCCCGTATTCCGACGCCCACAAAACGAGACCACCACCAACAACAAAATACACGAAACAAAGAATCAAAGAAAGAACAACTCGACGCTTGCAGGCAATCAACAGACTACAACCGAACGATTCACCATGATTAAGGCAAACTCAAGGGAAAATACCAAGAAAACGGCTCCCGCCAGCAGTTCGGGGGGTTCCTCCGATGGGCATTCCGACCTGCATTCTTCCATCACGCCCGAGGAAGACAAGATGAGCAGGGGAGTCGTTTGGGGACGCCTTCTGTTCTCGGTATGCCTACTCGTCCTGGTTGGAATTCTGGTTGGATCTCTCTACTGGTACGACAGAGCCCGGAAGGCCGACGACATACAGCGCGCCAACGAGCACTACGAAGTCATCATGAACCGGGCAATGATCTCCACGGCGCGATTGATGACGAACCGCCTCGAGGGAGCCAGCGCCATGGCCAGTCTTGCCTCATACGCTGCGCCCACGAAAGAGGAGTGGCCCTTCGTGAGGGTCGATTCCTGGTGGGCCGTTGGGGAGAAGGTTCAGGTGGCGGGCCTGAACGGGGGGTACTCTCTCGCCCCGATCGTGACGCCGGAGAATCAGGTGGACTTTGAGGTCTTTGCCGAGGAGTTTTTGAACGAGACCTACCCCGGCGAAGAGTCGGGGGTCAGTAGCTTCGGCTTTGGCATCTGGTGCAAGAACAAGACGACCGAATCGGAGGACACGAAATACCACCACACGAACGGATTCCCATATTCCTACGAGAGCGAGAACGCATTTGCAACCCCCAAGTACCAGCACACAAAGGGGAACCACCGGCTGCTTATGATGGACGTACACTGCTTTCCCCAGCAGGGAAAGAGCATCGACGATGCCTACACCTGCAGCAAGAACCGGGCGGCGATGAAACTAGCACCAAGCGAAAGCGGGGAAGCGAGCACCGACTTTGCGAACGAGAACTGCCAGGCGCTGTCCGATCTGACCCCGCCGAAGGATCCACTCGCTCGGACGGGGCCCGGGGCCTTTGTATCTACCTGCGTTTTTCCGGCCAGGGACAGCTCCGAGTGCGTGGCCATGATTTTTGCCAAGATGAACATCTACGAGGTCCTCGACGACACCTTTCCGGATTTCGTGGGCGGCATCGATTGCRTCGTCGACACGACCTTCAGCACCGCATCGTACCGAATGGAGAACGGCCTGGCCATGTACCGGGGCGACGAGGACGTCCACGACGAGGCTTACGACGACATGGGGGTGTCGATGCGGCTCTTTTCGGGATCGAACCTCACCGATGGCTCGATTTCTTACTACATGACGTGTTACCCGACCGACGAGTTCTACGAGGACTACAGCACGGAGACTCCCTGGGCCGCCATCGTCGGGGTGGTCTGCATCGTCGCCGGCTTGTGCGTTTGCTTCTTCCTTTACGACTACTGGGTTCGCCGTGAATTCCGGGTCAAGAAGGAACTCTTGAAGGCAAAGCGCCAGTTTGTCCGGTTTGTCTCGCACGAGGTCCGAACGCCCCTCAACTCGGTCTGCATGGCCCTCACGCTGTTGCAGGAAGAAATTGCACAGTCCCTGGGATACGACACGATCGAAGACATGGAAAAGGTCCACACCCACGTCGACGAAGCCACGAGTGGCACCGTCGATGCTGCTGCGAGCACCGGTACCGGTGCCACGGCTGCCGACCCCTCCGGGAGCAACAAAAAGATGCTGGAGATCGGGTGGTTCAATCTGGCAAAGGAAGTTCAGGTCAACGCGGAAAGCTCCGTCGAGGTACTAAACGATCTGCTCAATTACGACAAGGTAGAGTCGGGAAAGCTGGCGTTGGAACTGACCGCGATTCCCATCTGGGACACGATCCGGCAGACGGTTTCCGAGTTTCGGTTGCCGGCACAGTCGAAGGACATCAAGCTCGAYCTGAGTTTGCCAACAAACGCGGCTCCCACCGACGGCACGAGCATCGAATCCCCAATCCCCCTCAAGGACCGAAAGGTGGTCGGAGACTCGATCCGGCTGGTGCAAGTCGTTCGAAACCTGGTGTCCAACGCCATCAAGTTTACTCCGTCGGGGAAATCGGTGAACGTCAACGTCCGATGGGTCCCTAGCCCCCCGGAGCAAACCCAGGACAACCGAACCTTCCGGTACAAGACGAACGAGATAGTCTCCGTCCCTCCGTGYGGAGAAATGGTCCTTTCCGTGCAAGACGAGGGCGCCGGATTGAGCCCGGAACAGCTCTCGAAGCTCTTTGGGGTGGGGGTCCAGTTCAACGTCAACCAGCTCCAGGCCGGAAACGGATCGGGACTGGGCCTCTTTATTGCCAAGGGCATCATCGAGCAGCACGAGGGCACCCTGGTCTGCCACTCGGCGGGCCTCGGCCGCGGGACGAGCTTTACCGTCACGCTCCCCGTGTACAACATCCCCGATCCCGTACCCGAGCACCCGGAGGTCGACGACTACTTCCAGSAGACGTACCACCAGAGCTCGCTGAAAATTCTGATCGTCGACGACGCGCGGTCGAACCGAAAACTGCTTCGGCGGCTGCTGACCAAGCGGGGCAACGTCTGCGACGAGGCCGAGAACGGGCTGGAGGGCGTCGAGATGGTCAGGGCCGCCGCCGWCAAGGGTGGGAWCCAATACGACCTCGTTCTGCTCGACTACGAAATGCCCGTTATGAACGGGCCRGTGGCCGCCACGAAGATCAGAGAAATTCTTGCGAGCAAGGAGCAGCACTCGTTCCTTGTCGGCATCACCGGAAACTTTATGGACGAKGACATTCAGTATTTCAAGCAGTGCGGTGCAAATGCCGTCCTGCCAAAGCCCTTCAAGGTTCAAGAACTAGAAAACCTCTGCGTCGAATACCACATCACCGGAAGCATTGCAACGGGGGAAGGAAAATCCGTGAAACTGGAAATGCCAGAGCTATAAAAGTTACAAAACACTGACATTTATTTGCAATTTGATTATTGTATGTGAGMCGYAGCTTTTGAACAAAAAGAAATTACCAGTTTGAGGGTTACTTCGGCGATAACAAGGTCGATCCTCCTGTGAAGAAAAAGCTACACTGAATCATTGAAAAACAAGCAAGAAGTAGGGAATGGTATCCAAAATTTTGTTTGAAATAACACTCGTAAACTACTCTCCGCAGCATGCAYTTCCTCCTAAATACTAGTAATAATAAAAAATAAWAGTTGTACCGTGAGGTATTTGGAAAGAGGAACTATATTACTGAAAATGGCAAGGTGGATCCTCTTAATATAATAATAGCATTTAAACATCCAAAAACAAATGGGTAATAGATTACAAAAACATTGTTTCATACACCAATGTATGTAGTTCGGAGATTATGTTGATGAATCGCTATCGCATAGCAAGGCCCACGATCTGAACACTTCAGCTTTCCAGAATGCGTGTCATGTCTATTCGATTACTCGGCCGACGAAGCCTGCAGTCTCTCAATAAGATCGGCTTTTTTCCCACCAACCTTCAACCCCCGTTTTCTACATTCATCCTTCAGCTGCACGACCGTCATCGATGAGATATCAACGGACTCTTCTTCTGGCTCSGCAAGAAAATCACCGTTTATTTCCATTTCACTCTCAAGCTGTGCAAGCATATCCTCCGTTGGTTCTTCGTCAAAATCACCTCCAGTGGTTTGGAACATCTCCACTGCAGCCCGGGCTTGCCTTCCCAATTCTTCGATRTCAAACTCTTCAAGCCCCAGGTCGTCGTCGTCATCACTGACGTCTTCACTATCATCGTCGTCGACGTCATCATCTAATATCGTGTCATCTTCCTCTTCGTCATCTTGGCCAAGCATCTCGAGATCATTCTGTTCCAATCGTGCCACGAGATCTGCTTTCTTTCCCGATGTCTTCAGACCTCTGCTCTTTAATTCTATCTTCAGATCTGCAACTTTGAGAGAGGACCAATTCGTCACGACCGATTCTGGGAAAAGATCGTCAGGGGCAACATCATCTCCCGGTATATCGTCTGTGTTGMCTGCATCAACGGCCGCTCTTGCAGCGGCTGCAAGTTCTTCCATGCTATCTTCCGAAAGGAAAAGGCCATCTTCGTCGTCGTCTTCAAAATCGTCGTCATCATCTTCTTCTATCATTGAATCTGCCCATTCTTGTTTTTGATTCAACACAGCCTCGTACGCAACATTTTCTTCGCTCTCAAATGTTTCCACGGCTGCCCGTGCCATTTCTCCCAACGCTTCCACGTCAATGTCTCCAAAGTCGAAGTCCTCGTCGTCCTCGTCCTCGTCCTCGTCCTCGTCTTTCTCCACCTCCTCTACATCAGCATCAGAATTTGCGGTCTCGCTGAGCTCGCTGGCCAAATCTCCAGCAGCATCCCATTCAGCCTTAGCGAAACTATCAGTAATTACATCTTCTACGCCGACGATCTTTCCCTCGATTCCTTCTTGCGCTAGTTCAACAGCAGCCATAAATTCATCGTCGTCGAAGAATATATCATTATCGTCTTCTTCGTCTTCGACAGTTTCCTCCTCCTCGTCTTCCATTTCGGGAACTAACTCCTCCACTTCTTCCTCATCTTCTTCTGGTTCGGCAACCACCTCCTCAATATCTTCCTCTTCGTCTTGGTTTGTTTTCAATTCCTTTTCTTTTTGTGTGGCCTCTGCCTTGGCAATAACAGCATCTGCTTCACCAATTACGGTTTCTGCCTCCTTGAGMACTCTTGCGAGATCCTCATCGTCTTCGGCTTCGATGTAAGCAAGCTCAACCTCATCGATGCGATCCAATTTCACTTGACTAGGAGGTCTTCTATATTTGTATTTGTATTTGTTGACCACCGTCCTGTCCACCTCGCCAAACTTGGGCCCACTCAAGCCCATTTTCTCGGCCAAATTTGCGGCCGACTCGGTTACGTCCCAAGTAAGCTCGCCAACGGTACGCATCACATCACCGGCTACAGTCTTGGAAATGGACAAATAGGCAGCACTCAAACCGACAGCACTCGAAGCAATGACTCCCTTGCTTGCCATGAACGTAACGGCAGTAGCTGCCAGTGCAGCCCCTTTGATCCGATCTGCAGACACACCCTCCTTGATCTCRCCCAATGGTTTCTGGGAGAAACGGATTAAATACAAATACATCAGGACACACAAAAGACAGAGTGGCATGAGGGAGCTGGAGGTAACGGAAGAGAGTCGACAAACAAGTCAAATCACTTGTCGCTCGGTTCCAGTAGATTCTTCGAATTCGATTGCAATCARTTCGGATGCAAGGCACTTACAATGAATTTTTCGTAGGATTCTTTGGCCGCTTCGCTAATATTGGTTTTGATTTCCTCTATTTGCTTCTGTCTTTCCTCCTCTGCAATCCGAATTTCTTCTTCCAGTTTCGCTACGCGTTCTTTTTCAGCCGCTATGCGTTCTTGTTCTGCCTTTTCTTTTTCGGCTGTTGTAAGCTCTGGTTCTAACTTTTCTGTTGCTTTTTCTACCTTTTTCGTGTCTTCCTCGCCATGCTGTGCTTCTGCTGCCTTTATGGCTTCGGCTGCCATGTCTGCAAGACGAGCAGCTTTCTCGTCCTCGGCGTTGTTTCCATTGTCAGCGTCGGCAAAAAACACGGGAGATGGATTGGTACTCGTCGTTTCGTCTGAATCGCTGTCGTCGCTGCCACTAGCTGCTGCGGCCACTAGAGAACGACGAGGCCGAAAAAAGGCAGCAGGTCGTATGGACGACAACCCCAATTCCGATGATCCAGTTCGATCGTTGTTTTTGTTGCTGTTTATATGCACTCTGTTTTTGGCAGCAGCACTATCCCATTTTGGTATCAAGGATTCGTTTGGTTCAAAGAGGAATGCTGCAAAACACACCAGTGTCAACATCGACACACGATTCCGTTTCACCATCGTTCCACTTTCGATCTATTTTTAGTGGTTTGCTATGAATACTGAATGGGCAGACTGCCAATCGGTCAAGGCTTGTGTTGTAGTTCAAATTGTGGGGACTGGAACAGATGGATAGAAATTCCAGATGAATTCTTCCACCGATCAAATGCTGTCTGGAAAATACAATTGCGGTACTTTGACAAAAATGTACTTTAATTGTAAATGCGGTGTAAAATTGATTGATCGGCGGTCCCAACGTTGGCTAGGTCAAAAAAGGTATCTAAGTAACTCTTGCTCGTAGTAATGATCAACGACAGCAGATGGGTTCACAACAAAAGAAAAAATACTTTATCGCCACTTTCGCAAACCGCATATTTCTTCCGCTGAAGTTGACAACCCTCGGTGAGCAATAAATTCCATCATCGAATTCTATTGGAGCAATTCACCTGACACCCGTTACAAAGCTGGGCGACCCCGTCGAAAAAGATGTGAGTAGGTTTTAACTTCAAGCAAAGCAGGGCCAACGCGTGTTAGCCAGCCCTAAGACTCATAATTCGTGATTCACAATCACTTTCCAATATTCGACCCGTTCGACTAAAATAATGCATCCAGATTGGAAAGATACCAAATCCACGTCAGACACCAGTGAGTCGTTTTGCCCTGCAAAAACAACGCAGTCGTGCGGTGTCTCTTTTTGGTTTGCTGCTGTGTCGCAGTGTCGTGTACAGATGCCATGTACGGCGCGAGAGCCAAAAAAGAGGCATGTGCTTCGTCCATCCTGCTTTATTTTCTGAAGGAGCATCATCATCAGCACTTTTGATGATGAGGATGCAGTGATGAATCACTCAATCGTTCCCTCAATCCTCCATTTAAACGAGAGGACACTCGAAAACCCGATTGATTACATCCACTAGATTGTCTCACAATCTAATATACGCTTATCCACAACACACACAATCACTCCAACTCTTATCCAATAACTAACAATACAAAATGATGAAATTTTCGCCCTTCGTTCTTGGACTAGTCGCCATTATGGCTACGTCGACTTCTGCTTTTGTTCCATCGTCGAACAGAATGCTTTCCAAAACTCTACCAACTCAAAAAATTGGAAACAACAAGAGCATCGAATCTGTTCTCTTCATGGCTGACGAAAACGTGAGTGTGAACAAAATCTTCAAAGAAGCCACCAGCATTATGCGGTCGAATCCTKAATAATTCTGATCGGTTTGCACAAATTAAGTTTCTCATGGCTTCAATTCTTCTTCGTCTAATTTTTTTGCCGAACAGGAAACTGAGTGGAGTGCGCCCACCTCCGCAATGATTGGCGGAGCCGGTGTGAACAACGCCGGAGAACCGCCTTTTGAAATCCGTGGGTTTTCTCTTGGAAACCTTGTCATTTTCTCTGGAATTATGATCACAATCCTTTCGTTCGCAGAATACCTCAGTGATTCGGGTGCGGATGGTTTGAATGTATCTGGTTTGGGATTCGTCTATGGAATCCCCGTGTTTTTGGCYGGAGCCGCCCTGAAATACGCCGAGATCGAACCCGTTCCGTGCATATCCAGYCCAGCTGCCGAACGCATTTTYGACGATAAGGCAACCGAAATCATTGCCAAAATCAAGCAGGATGTTACGAGACATCGATACGGAGACGAAGCTCACTTGGATACGACCGTGAAAAAGCTGGGTCTGGTTGTTCCGGGAAAAGATTATCCGCAGCTCATGGAACTCAGAGAAGATGTTGAAGACGGGGAACTCACATTCACAATGGTATGGCAATCAATCGACACTCCTTACAAGATGTGGGCCGACGAGCGACGAGTAAAGAAATACGAGACATTTTTCGGACCCGGAGTTGCAGCAGAGGTTGTCAAGATTGATGCCGAACAACGACTTGTCGGAATCAAGTTAACAACAACGTCCTCCACTCCTGCTGTAGCAGCATAAGCGACACACACGCTTTTCTTTCTTTCGACAAATGCAGTCGAGATTAAAATTTATCATACCGTACAATAGAATCACACCATTTTCACATCAATCACTATTTTGACTACAGTACYTASGAATAATTCATTTCAATCCGTGCAAATCTAGTCATACGCTCGTCTATCATTATGGATGACAGGTTYATAAATAATGAAGTCCAGATCGAATGGTGAACATATGAGAGAAAGCAAGAGTAACTCTCTTTTCCAACACATCTCGACCAGACATGAACATTTCGAACCATCACGTAAAAGGATGTTTGGTCGCAGCAAAACAAGCCAAAAATGTGTTTTCTTTCGTTAGCCGCACCAACCATACAATATTCAAGGACACTATTGTATCGTAAATTGAAGACAGCAAGCGCGGATTTTTATTCTAGAATTGTATCGTATTTTATTTTTGAAGTTATATGATAACGATCTCAAAAATAAAGTCCCCATTCCTGGATGGTGAGTTCAAAGTCGCCGACCACGGTTGGTTTGATGGCCATCAATCCTAATTCCGTGACCGCACCCCGGTTGAATACCGGGGCCCCGTTCAGCATGCGCCCCATCGATTCCATCTGATCGAAGGCTTCGAACGGAATGAAGATCGTGTCATTGTCGCTGTCGCTGTCGTTATCGGGGTTCGCAAAGATCGTCTTAAAATTCGCGCCCCGGACCTGTTCGCAGGTGGTGTCCTTGAGAATCAAGCGGAAGGTATGCTGGGCGGGACTCGAGTGCTCTACCTTCTTCAGATAGACTCCCTTGGCATAACTCCAGTTCAAGATTCGGTCGAACCTCCATCTGAGAGAAGAAAAGCCACCGTTGTTGGCCAGAGAGGTTGTCCCCCGAAAGGTCTTGGAACCGGAATGCCACTCTCCCCTCGAGACTCCGCCCATGACATTGTCGTTGACCACGTACGGTTCTGTCGGAATCATGGCATCCGTGAATTTTTCGAGAGTCACGTTCGTGGTTTYGTCCCCGCCCTCGACCTTGCCATTGGCGCTGCCGATTTCGATTTTGGCGGGCACAAAGGGTAGCTGGTAGTCTAAAATGGAATCAAATTGCTTCCGGAATGCCCATGCTTCCTCGTCTGCGTCCCGAAAACTGTTTTGCTGTTGTTGTTGAATGGTCCCCTCCAGTCCGTCTTGCAACGCCTTGGGAATCAGGGCTGCGATCTCTAGTGCCGTTTCCCTGTACACCTTGGCACACCCCGCAACATCGCCGGCATTGTACGCCGGAGCCCCTATGGATATGGCCCTGGAGATAAGAGTCTTAGCCTCGTCCATGTTCCGCTTTTGGCTGGGTGGTGCTGGGGAGGCCGATAAGAATGGTTGTTCTGCCATGGCGAGACTGGGATTGTCGATCCGACAATTTCCGGTCGTTGAATGGCTGTTATGGAACTGGTTGGAGAAGCACAGTGCCTTTTTCCCCGAGAAAAGTAGGAATGCGGAGATTGCAGTTCGCTGTAGAAGCTTCGATTGTGTCCCCATGAATTTATTTTCTTTTGCGCTGCTGCTGTGCTATATTGTTGAGTGATTTTCTTTGTTGTTGTTTGCTGACACTCTAATCCCTCTTTGAATCAGTCAAAATCCTTTTCCGTTTCGATGGATCTTTTGTACTCTACCATGTGGAATCGGCTTCGATCAGTCCATCGCAGTAGTACTAGAGAAAATGTTGCAAAGAAGATGATGATGTGTAATTGACGTGATGGTTGCAGGTGGTGGTGATTTTCGACGATGACGATTGCTTTGTAACTGAAATAGTGTCAATTTTTGGTCATAAAATGTGAACCCATGACTCATTCATTTCAGTCCTTAGCATCGGCTTTATTTTTTGTGGCGAACCTTTGTGCCAATAGCCACTA